CGCCTCTCCGGCTCCTCCGGGAAGCCCTGCGTTTCTTGCCGCCGCCTCTGTTCCTCACCTTCAGCAGCCCCACCCTCAGCTTCTGACTGCCCCTCACGTAGTCCTTCCCGTCGTGGACGCAGTGGGCCGCCGTGAGCACGTGCCTGGGGGAGACCAGGACGCCGCTGCAGCCCGTGGACAGCTTCACCGCCGTGCTGAAGGGGAAGCTGGTTAAGAAGCGCTTGTCCAGGATGCTGAACCTGCTGTCCGTGCCGTACACCTGCCTCTTTCTCCGAACAGGCGCCCCCCTCGCGGTGGTATTTGGAGTTGGCTCAAGGTCCAGGCCTTGAACTTTCACCCTGGTCAAGGTCCGGGTGCCGTTCTCAAAGACGGTCTCGTAGGAAAGGGACTCTTCCAGGTCGGAAAGGCTGGGGGCTGGGAGCTGTCGTCGGCACTCAATGCCACACACTTTCTTTAACACCGTCTTGGCGTCGGCCTCAAACGTGGGGCTGGTGAGGTGGAAAGTTCTTTCGCTGACAACCCGGGGTACTTTTCTCAAACGCCACGTAAGATCCTGTTCCATCTCTGATCCATTGATGAGGGTGCACCCAAGGGTGAAAAATATCAACCAAAACAGCGTATTTTCCATTGTGTTCTTCTCTTTTGTCCCTAAAAAAACAAAAAAAGGAAAGAGAAACTTTAGAATGTTTTTGTAAATGTTCCTTAACCATGTCAGTTAGGCCTTGGTCCTATATGTGCCTTCCCCACAAATAGGAGACCTTATTTCCAACGTACTTAGGTTTTACTGCAATGAAACACCCTGCTAAGTAGGTTCATACAAATTTCCAAAATCAGGACATTGTTTTTCACCCAACCTTCCCTCCACCAGCCCTTACTCACCTCCCCGCATCTGCCATCTCCACCTCTACCTCCCCGGAGGCCCAACGTGTGGGAGAGCAGGGCCAGACAGCCCCACTCTTCCTTCCCAGGTCTCCTACAACTTTCTTCCAGATGATTTAGACATAAAGATAGCAGGAGATGTCCTGCACTTTCCCTGCAGTTGGCTCCTTAAAAGCAGGGATCATAAGATTCCTCATCTCTAGAATGTAAATGCCTAGCACAGAGCTCAAAAAAGACGCTCATTAGAATACAGGGACTTTGCCTGGACCATGGTTTGCAGACCAAGCTGATTGACGGCATAATTAAAATCACCAGATACTATTCTAAAAGCAGTAGAGGTTTTTTCAATAAATAAACGGGGTCATCTGCTATTGACTGGCATTGATTTTTACAAGCAGAACCCCTTATCATAAAAAGAAAGTATGCACAGGCCATTTTACGCTAAAGTCAGAAAAATGTGCCCTGTACTTTTTTTTTTTTTTTTAAACAAAGTTGTGCCTGGAACTACCCCCTAAGCAAAAAAACATACAAAAAAAGTTTCATAGTGAGATCTTACTGTATGTGAAAATTAGTTACAAGAATCTGTGGAGCAGGGCTATGATTCTGAATTGGCCACTTGGGGGAACATGATCACGGTTAAATATAGTCCCTTTCACCATGGGTCTCCTCATCTAAGAGCAGTGCTTTTGTGTTAAGTGTTTTTAAAGTTGCCAGTACTGATAAGTCATATATTACCTCTTCTAGTGTTTACATCTTCTTACCCTCTTTTCCTGTCTCTCTAGGCTGATGGGTATGTAAATCTGTGTAGTGGAACTGAGGTTTGTCAGTTGTTGCTTCCTGAGGGGGGGGGGTAGCACTCTGGAGCAGCAATTTTGAAATTTGTAAGCTATGCTCCAAGCCGTTTTTCACTACAAGACTTACAAGACTTGGACTCTCAATGCTTTCTGACAATTTTTTTTTGGCATGGAAAACAAAAGTAATGAAGAATGTTAGGAATGTTCCTCAACCCAAGGTACACCCATAGGATCCTGTACACAAGCATGAAAACCACAGGTTGTCCCTGACGCAGAGCTGAACACAGGCATCGCTTGATACAAGAGTTCATTTTATCACGTGCAAGTACAGAGTTTTATTAACAAATTAATAACATTCCTTTGGTAAAACACATACTGTATAACCTCTTTATTGTTTAAACATGATATGTCCACCAAAATATGACATAATTAATTTGAATCCCCATGCATTTGAACATATGAAACAAATTTATAATCATCTTTACCATGACTTGGCCTCAGCAAGGTTACATAGTAGTTTTGCAGTTTCCATTGTTTGTATCTGCTCACACTTGAATGCTGAGTGATGGTGATTCTGGTTAATATTAGACTGTTTTGTTAAGTAGCTTGTGACTTGTTTTATTTGGGGAAATAATGGATATTGCCCAAAATTCAATAAAGAATATACTTTGGAAAAGAATCCACGCTCATTTCACAATATTTTCTAATCATTACCATGGCAAATTCAACGTCATACAGAGCAGTAATTATACTGATAATGATTTTGTGGAGCCACTTAGTATTCTCTTTTGTTATCTTCTATGCAGTTTTCACGATGAATACTTCATCAATTTTATTTAAGTGGATTGGAGTGGAAAAGGCCAACAACTCCGTCATTCTACTGAGACCCTGAAAGCCTATGCTTAACTGGCTAGTTCCCAAGATAAAAAAACAATGTCTTTGCCAAAAAAAAAATCCCCAGCTAATTCAGAGCATTATTTACTGCCTCTTAGCTTATCAACAGACCAAAACAGATAATAAAAAAGAGAGAGAGATTTTATCTACTTGATTCTTAGCAAAATTTCAGTCAAGGGAGTTTTTTGGAAAACAAGTTTTTAAAATCGGGAAACAAGTTTTAAAAATTGATTTTTCATTTCTCCCTTTTTGAGAATAGCTGTCTATTGTGTACTTACTATTACATCCAAGACTGAAAGTCAGCCAAAGAACCTCATTGAGAAATACACAGAATCACTTTGTACATATTATCACTTGATACTAAGGGTCTGTGAAGTAATAAATGTGGGAGAGTCATTCCTAGGCAAAACAGAGATGTCTTAATCATGGTGCTGTGGTACTGTTTCCCAGTTAGTGTTTTGGTTTTTTTCAGTATGATTTAATTTAGTCTTGCAACTTTTTATCTACTTAGGGATTAGAAAGGCAGAATGCAGATATTAAATAAGTGACAAGATGATCTTCTACTATACAAATCGTTGAACTAGAACATGAACCAAATATATAGAAGTCTCCCTACTCTTTACTGAATAAAACATGTGCTCTGTGCCATAATTCTGTAGGAAGATTTTAAGAAAGCCCCATGTAATTCTTTTATGTCAACTTGATTAGCCACTGGGTACCCAGATACTTAGTTGAATATTTCCCTGGGTGTGTCTGTGAGGGTGTTTCTGGATGAGATTGACGCTGAACTGGTAGACTGAATAAAGCAGTTTTCCCTCCCTAATGTGGGTGGGCCTCGTCCAATCAGTTGAAGGTCTGAACAGAGCAAAAAGGCTGACCCTCCTGTGAGTAAGGAGAAACACCTCCTTCCTGACTGCTTTGAGCTGAGACATTGGTTTCTTCTTGACTTGGGACTCAAAATGAAACATGAACTACTCAAAGAATGTTATTAATTTGTTAATAAAATTCTGTACTGGTGTATTACAAACTATAAACCTTGTCATAGCAAAGGATGCCCAGCTTGTAGTCCCCAGAGTAGCTAGCAGTGTTAGCATCACCCGGGAACTTGTTAAAAATTATCATTTCAGGGCCCAACCACCTACTGTCCAAAACTCTCCAGGAGGAGGGCAGGTTCCCAACTATCTGTGCTTTAACCAGCCTTCCAGGCAATTCTGATACTCAATACAGTTTGAGAACCACTGTAGCAGCCAAGGCCCTGGTGTAGTAGCTTGAGCCACACACCAGAGGCAGTCTTTCCAGGGATGATTGCATAACTGGGTTTCAATCTGCTTCATGTTTGTATACAAAATAAATTTATTCTGAATTTTTCTCTTTTACTATGTTAGCAACTGCTAATATTGAATGGGTCAGTGGCTTAATAAAGAAAAAACATAACTTACTTTTTTTTTAATTTAAAAATATGGAACGCTTCACAAATTTGTGTGTCATCCTTGCGCAGAGGGCCATGCTAATCTTCTCTGTATCGTTCCAGTTTTAGTATATGTGCTGCCAAAGCGAGCACCATAACTTACTTTTGTTTAAATGACTTAATAATATATCTGAAAAGAGTCAAATCAAGTAGGTTTGTGTGTGATGCCTCCACCATCTGATGCCACAGACCATGCAGTGGCATGAGTTTGCCAGCCCTGTCTGGTGCCATTTGAGTGAGCCCCACAAAAATAAAAGCCATGCCCACATCTATCCTTGGGCATGGGAAGGGCAGAGCCTTGTAATACGACCTCAGAATCACAGTAATAAGAGGACATGGATTTAGTTAGCCTAATTTGGCCTGTAATTTAAAATTGGACAAATGTTTATGGATGCTTTCTTTTGGAAAATCTAAGTTTGCCTTGTGGTAAAATGTCAATGTAATGCAAATGACAGCTCTTACTGATGGAGCAACCCTGGTTCAGTGGATACATCTACATATGCCCAACGTCCAAAAAGCACTAACTCATGAACCTAGAGATACAGTCCCCACTGGGGCAGCAGCTATAATATTTTGAAATCTTTAATGTCCCTTATCTTCCTTCCTCTTCTTCCTTTTTCCAATCTTCCATTATAATTGTGACCTTAACTGTCATTTTCCAGATGGCTTGGACTTGAGAATTCAAATTCCAGTTTTGGTTAATGAAGTCGTCATGGCTCTCCACCATGAGTCAGTGTGCACACAGCTGATTACGGGTTGGGCCATGGAAATAAACGGAGTAGAAGGGAATTAGGAAGGAAGAATATCAGGCTATGCAGATGAACTTGTACTGATAGAGCAAATACTACTGCACATTTGTACCTGGTCTATGTTAACAGAAATAACCACACATAGCTACAAAAGATGACTTATTATTACTATTTTTTTTTTTTTTTTGCTTATGCTGTCTCAGAAATGTGATTGCTGATAGTATTTAGAATATTTGAGTACTGATACCAGCATAGTGGTTACAAGTGCAGACCAAGGAGAAGAAGACTTGGGCTAAGTCTCATCTTTACCACTTATGAGGCAAATGGATTGGGGCTGTTCATTAAGTTCAGTTAAGTTTCACTCCTCACCTGGAAAGTGGAGATAATAATAATCTCTACCTCACAGCATAATTGCGGGGGTGAAATGAGATGATATATGCTCTCAGGAGTGAGCCCAAAGCATGGTAAGCATAAATAGCAGGCTCCTTAATCATGATCGGTCTACCTTCGTGGGTGAATTAATGGTACAGCCATTATGGGAAACACTATGGTGGTTCCTCAGAAAATTAAAAATAGAGTTCCATATGACCCAGCAATTCCTCTCCTGGGTATCTACCTGAAAAACTTGAAAACTTGTATTCACAAAGGTATATGTACCCCTATGTTCACTGCAGCATTATTCAAGGTGGCCAAGACATGGAGACAGCCAAAGTGTCCTTCCCTAGAGGACCGGATAAAGAAGGTGTGATACATACACACTATGGAATACTGCTCAGCCATAAGAAAAGATGAAATACTGCCATTTGCAACAACATGGATGGACTCGGAGAATATCATGCTAAGCAAAATAAGTCAGTAAGAACC